TATGTTTAATTTTTTTTTAAATTATAGTGTTTGGACGTTAGTCATAAGATATCCCATTATTTCACAAGTATCTCTGAAATGTTTGCATGCAAAATTTGAGGCTCTGTACCATTTTTAATGTAAATAAATAATGTTTATGAAAAATATTGTTTCTTTTTTCAATTTGCGTTTCTTTTTTTCAATTTGAACAACAAATAAATTCAGACATTTATGTCCTTGCCGACAACTACAATTTTTTTTATTGATGACAAATATCGACCAGCTGGGTGTCACATTTGGTACAAACAGGACAAATTAGATGACAGTCTGAATTTCACCGATTGTGTTGTCTCCCCAACACTAAGTAGAAGCAAAATATTGTTAATTTGATAGACAGTAGACATCAATCGGACTTTAAAAAAATAAATAGAAATCTATCCATTTTTTATATAACGAATAGCACAGTCAATCTTAAGAGGAGACCCATTAATAAATAACAACTCCCTACCCTGTTGGTTTTATAAACTTAATGTAAGCTTTTGACAGCATAGGCAGATTCACTTTTAAAGCTTCTCAGACACCTTGGCATTTCCCAAAAACTCTTGATTCTTTCAATTAAAACCCAGATTTATTTATTATGTATTATTTGTAAGCAATATTTTCAACCTATCGGCATGATCAATGGTACTTTTAAAGAAAAATTGACTTACTTATGCTGATATTAAAGGATTAAAGTTTTCTCCCTATGATGCATTTCAAACAGAATATATATAATCAAGGGATTCTAAAACTTGCTTAGCCCTGTGTCTATATTGACCATCAATTTTCTCCATGCTCCCATTTTTAAAATTAATCCATTTAGCTGAGAAATGATATTGCCCGATTTATTATTGTTCACCCTTCGCATGCCAAGATGATGAAGGCTTGGACTTGAGTAGTAGCCCTGACTTGTGGCTGTAATTTGTTTTTAAAGTGAGGGAGAGTTGATAAATTAATCAGATGTAAGTCCTACCAGGCAGGCCAGATTAAGTTGGTGAAATGTGCTAAATTTAAGGACAGGAGACACATTTTGGCAGGCAATAAAGCTGTTGCATTAGTGTATTCTTCTTTTGTCTTCTAAAACAATATCAATATTTCAATGGATGCCATGCCACATGGTGGTTGTTAGCACCAACCATACAGTTTAAGTCTACTAGTATTCTAAGTATATCACAGCTAAAATATGCTAGATGGTTTATAGATATTGAAAGGATAGACTACACAATAGGCTTCCTCTGAGAAATTACATTTGACAGAAGTCTAATGACTATTCATGGTAGTAAGTAAATATAGGGCTACTTTCAAAATAACATTAAAAAAAAAAAAAGTATGTCCAAATTTATCAGTTAAAGCAAACTAAAATTAAAAAAAAAAGATTAAGCACTTAAGATTTTAATTATTTTTATTGTTTTCTTTGCATTTTATATATCCAACTAGATCTAAAGACATTGATTGGTGGAATATTTTAGAACAATTACACAGTAGCTATATAATTATAACAAACATTATGCTTAACAAACACACACACAAATCATGTGACAGAATCTCATTATATCTGTTGATAGCAAAAAGGAACTAATTCAAAGACTTGAACTTTGTGTTTCCTAAGAATTCTTTGAGAAATATAATAAAATAGTGAGACAAACTACACATATTAAATTTTCGATTTAAAATTACATAAATACCATCACTGTACTTAACCAACCAATGTTTAAGGATATTATTTCAATATAAATATGTATTTTTCATGAACACTGAAGTAAATAGATAACAACTAAGACTTGTGTTTGCCTGGCTAAACAAAGCTCTTCTCCTTTTCTATCTATAATAAATAATGTTATTTTTTTTCTTCCTACAAAATGCACTGTAAAATTATCTTGAATCTAATCTTTTCAAAGACTAAACAAATATTAACTATGCAATCACGTACAAGCCACTCCTTAGTCAAACATTTATGGACACTTTTCAAGTTATTAAAATAATTTCAGTAAAAGTAAATACATAGCATAATAATAATAATATAAACATTGAAGCAATGTGCCTGATTACAAGACTGTTGTTACTGTTTCAAGGGTTCTGATGTTACAGCATACACTGTGGCAAGCCTGGCCAGTGTGGATTCTTTCAGGCCCATTCCAATACTAGTCAGATAATGGTGAAATCTAAAGAGAAAACAAAATAAGGCAAATTTGAATCATCTGAATGTTGAATAATCAAATTTAGAAATAATGAAATGAGGTATAACATTCAAATCTGCCTATGAAGACTATCTTTTACTTTTACGGCGCCAGCAATGGCATAGGCCCTACATATGCAATGGCTGCTTTTGTATCACTGAAAAGCTGATTTGTGCAGATTTGAGATCCTATAAAGAGAATCAATTCTTGGCATCAGGTGTTATTTCGCGTCTGGTACACAAACAGCCCAATAAAAGCCTTTTTTTAAAATATTTTTTTTAGAGATATTCAAGACTGATGATCATGCAATCTACTTCTACTTCTACAAAGAGGCATGCTAAAAATACATTTGCTCCATTAAGATGGCCAAAAGCAGTTGTTTTATTGGCCAAATATATGGTTGAACAGCTGGGTTTATTTGATTTTGTTACCAAGACGTTCTAAATGTTACCACGACGTTCTAAATGTTACCAATACGTTCTAAATGTTACCAAGACGTTCTAAATGTTACCACGACGTTCTAAATGTTACCAATACGTTCTAAATGTTACCAAGACGTTCTAAATGTTACCACGACGTTCTAAATGTTACCACGACGTTCTAAATGTTACCAAGACGTTCTATACCAAGACGTTCTAAATGTTACCAATACGTTCTAAATGTTACCAATACGTTCTAAATGTTACCAATACGTTCTAAATGTTACCAATACGTTCTAAATGTTACCACGACGTTCTAAATGTTACCAAAACGTTCTAAATGTTACCACGACGTTCTAAATGTTACCAAAACGTTCTAAATGTTACCACTACGTTCTAAATGTTACCAAAACGTTCTAAATGTTACCACGACGTTCTAAATGTTACCAAAACGTTCTAAATGTTACCAAAACGTTCTAAATGTTACCAAGACGTTCTAAATGTTACCACGACGTTCTAAATGTTACCAAGACGTTCTAAATGTTACCAAGACGTTCTAAATGTTACCAAGACGTTCTAAATGTTACCAAAACGTTCTAAATGTTACCAAAACGTTCTAAATGTTACCAAGACGTTCTAAATGTTACCAAGACGTTCTAAATGTTACCAAGACGTTCTAAATGTTACCAAGACGTTCTAAATGTTACCAAAACGTTCTAAATGTTACCAAGACGTTCTAAATGTTACCAAGACGTTCTAAATGTTACCAAAACGTTCTAAATGTTACCAAGACGTTCTAAATGTTACCAATACGTTCTAAATGTTACCAATACGTTCTTAATGTTACCAAGACGTTCTAAATGTTACCAAGACGTTCTAAATGTTACCAAGACGTTCTAAATGTTACCAATACGTTCTAAATGTTACCAATACGTTCTTAATGTTACCAAGACGTTCTAAATGTTACCAAGACGTTCTAAATGTTACCACGACGTTCTAAATGTTACCAAGACGTTCTAAATGTTACCACGACGTTCTAAATGTTACCAAGACGTTCTAAATGTCACTAATTCGTTCTAGACTTGAATCTAATCTTTTTAGTAGGTCGATAGCCGATTAATATGTCAGAAAAAGACGACTGCCTATCGATGAACCCGGCAAAGGGTCGTTAAATACTTTTTTTTAAACTGATCCGTCCCGGGGCAATTTTCTGTATATTAATTGGCACCATTTTCCAGTTTCGCCCCAGGTGCAGCATTTCCTCCGTAGCGAACAGACTAAATAGAGTAATAATAATTTTTTTAAAAAAAAGCACTTAACTGAAAAGTTGTTTCCGAGGGGGCAGCAAAAGATAGTGAAAATCTAAATTTGGCATAAGCACCGGGAATCGAAACATTATAGGAACCACTGAGCAAGCACGGTGGACGAGATATTACTGTAATTCTGCTACTACTGTGTTATATTGAAGCGATATCTAGCTAATTCACTTGGGAAAAAGAAATGGCAACATTATAACGATAATACCACACAATAATGCGTGATAGAAATATGCTGTTTATAGAAGGTTAGATTGAGCTGAAACTATCCACTGCGCTGGCCTTTGCGGAGAAATAAGATAAGACAAATTATGGAAATAAGACAAGCAGGTCGTCCCTGCCAAAAGTACGGACAAGCCGGACGATGAGAGGAAAGTACGGTAGGGTCACAAAATCATGAACTGGAAAAAACGGGACACACCCAACGAGGTTGGGGGAGGGGGAGGGAGGGAGTACCCTTCAAACAGAGGCGTAGCGAAAGGGGGGGGGGCAGGGGGAACACATATCATAATGGGTTTGAGAGTTGGAAAAAAAGAAAAGGGGAGCGCTTTAAAAGGAATCTTGCAAATCTTGTCCCCGGGCGCCAAAAACTCTCGCTACCCCTCTGTCTCCATCTAAAGAGGGGTCGGGGGCCTCCGCCGGAAACAGTTTTTTTTTATGCTATGCCCATTTAAACTTTTTGAGACTGAAATCTTTTTAAATTTAACTTCACTTTTTAAATTTAATTTTAACTCTGAGGTATATCATAAACCAAAACAATAATTTTGCAGCGTCGGCAGAGTGGTGGAGGGGGAACAGTGCAGCCATCACGCGAGCCCTCATCACTACTGGCACTGGCTACACAGCTAGCCAAAATATTTGGCTAAAAATACATGAAGTTATAATATAAATTAGGAAGTTTGAGTGATTTGAAAATGTGTTCTGTTTTAGAAACGGGACATTTAGGCGTCCCGAGAGATTTTTTCGGGACACCGGGTACGATCGTGAAAAAACGGGACAATCCCTTTTATACGGGACGTTTGGTCACCCTAAAGTACGGAGAAATACGGATGCAAAAAGTAGTAGGGACAAGAGGGTCGAAAATACAAACTGTCCGTACTAAATACGAACGTCTGGTAACCCTATCTAAGACCTTTCTTTTTTTTTTGAGCTTTGTATTTCGTTGAAGCCCCTGACCTTTGTGTTTAGAAAGAACAACTAACTTGGGTCAAGCCATAGATAAGACATTGCTGTTTGAATCTAGACAGTATTTGCAACAGTACGACAGTTGTGACAACATGGCGTTTAAAGTGTACTGTGTCTTTCTCCTTGGTGTTTGTCTACAGCTCTCCGCGCAGCAAAGCCGTGAGTCAAATCACTTTGCCCATTTCATTTATCCATCTTTGATTATTTATCTGTGTTCGTTGCTACATGATACAAGTCATTATAATCTACAAGAGAGATTGCACAAACTATTCTTCCCATACTTTAAGGGTATTTTCATGCAACTTGTTAAGCCACTAAGTCGGTCAGTGACAAGTTTGTCTATTGTTGTTCCACTCAGTGGGTCAGTGACGAGCTCAATATGAAGAACTAAATTATTCTCAGTTACCAACGATTCATCAGAGTGACCTTAGGTTTGTTTCCAGTGGAAATCAATCATCCGTTTAAAAAAAACACAAAAAAAACAAAAACAAAACAACTCAACACTAAGTTATAATAAAACTTGTCTTGATTCTTTTCGCGTCCAGCCAATTTTCGACTTGCTATTTCAGCGGACTACTGCAGCCTAGCTCCAGTGTCTGGGATGTGTGAGGCGTACATTCCAAGCTTCTACTACAACCCCACCTATGGATCCTGCATGAAATTTATTTACGGCGGGTGTGGGGGAAACCAAAATCGGTTTAGCACAGCAGTCGAGTGCGAGACTGTCTGCAAGCCACAGGGCGCGCTCTAGTTCATCTACAAACCAACTGCACTCACATCTGAAAAGATGAACTGTCTCTTGAAATAAATTTAGCTTTAAAAAACAGATTACAGCTGTTATTTATGTGTGGGCTGATAAGTGATACAATAAAATACATATTTTTTAACATATCAAAATGAAATTACTGCCTATTTAAAAAACAACGAATCATAGAAAGCAGTAAGTGACGAAAACAATATATGAAACATTAATAAGAACAAATCGGCTCAAAGGCTTTGTTAGGTGCTAACAGATGACTGATAAAACAAATGAACATATCTTTACAAGTGAGGGCTACTGGATAAATAGCACGTGCTCTATTTTGACCAGGTATCCAAGTCTAAAAATAGAGATAGACACAATGAGAGAATTGATGACACACACACACACACCATCATCGAAAGACGGGGTTATCTGTTCAATTCTACGCCTGGAGTTAGTTCGACGATGAGGCGTCAAATGCTCTTCGCGCTGTAGTCCGCAAGCGACTACTTCAGACACTATTCACATTTTTATGTTTATCAATAGGAACAAAGTACAACACATATGTCTTAATGAGATTTGATTTGTCTATACAATTTATTTGCACATGTCTGGTTCCCATTAAAAAAAAACAACAAAAAACTTTTTTTCCAGCTGAATACTGTAAGCTAAAGCCAGAGGCCGGACCTTGCGATGCCTACTTTGTAAACTACTACTACAACCCTGCTGCTGGTTACTGTCAACAGTTTGTTTACGGTGGGTGTGGTGGCAATCAGAACCGGTTTAACAGTGGCTCGGAGTGCAACGCGGCATGTCAGATAAACGTAGTATGAGAATTCAGGCGAGACTTGTGACGCCAGGCGAGAACTCAGCTCGGATTAAACATACACAATTTTGGAAATAAAAATGAATACATTTTCACGCTGATAAAAAAATCATTTAAGTTAAAAAAAAATAAAAAAAAAGAAGTATATAATCATTATAAATTAATTTATTCTTTAAAAAACCGGAATAAATAAATGGGCGGCCCGAACCTAGGCTCTTTGTGGACCCACCGAAAATTCCGATTCACCCCCCCCCCCCCAAAAAAACAAAAAACAACATAAAAAAAAAAAAAGAAATATATAATCATTATAAATTAATTTATTTTTTAAAAAACCGGAATAAATAAATGGGCGGCCCGAACCTAGGCTCTTTGTGGACCCACCGAAAATTCCCATTCACCCCCCCCCCCCCAAAAAAACAACAAACAACAACAACAATACACTAAGGAAAACAACAACAACTCCCATTAAAGCTGAGGGAGGGAAGGCTGCAAAGCGGTACCTCAGAAATAACCCCCATCGCTGGCAGATACCCGGCGACTCCGTTAAATTGACAGTCACACATTTCGAAGCCCAGAGATCATGAAGTAACCCCGTAGATGCTGGTGGGTCGACGCAGATCATCATTTGCTCCCACTTGCGAAATTTTTAAGGCTGTCGATCTGTGATCAAGGTAATGTTTTGTAAGCTAAAGCGGTCAAGAGAACTCCCGGCTTCTAAGTTAAACATTGCATTACAAAATGACAGCTAGTAGCGGGGACGAAACGGTTTCCAAAGGTACCGGCCTTCAACGTCATCGTTTTTTTTTGGTCACCGGTAAAACAAGATTTTTGTCATCTCCGATCCATTAACGGCAGCTGTGACCAGGGCCCTGCACTGTACCAGAGCTTAGCTCAATACATTAACCGTATAGTGTTCGATAATCTTTGGCATACGTTTGTACACCCCCCCCCAATTATAATTCACATGCAGCTAAATTAAGCTTAGAGACAGAAGTTCAACTGCCAGATG